TGTTACCTCTTTACACAAAGTCAATGCCAGCATTTTCCTGTGGGATTTATCTTGTACTGAGCAAAGCAAGAGGAGACTAAATCCAGTTACAAAGAATCTGTAAAACATAACCCCCCAGGTTATGCTCCAAGAACAACATCATTTACTACCCATGTGGAACATGAATTCTCCCTTCACTCTCCACTGATAGTGTTTGTCAGGAGCACAAACTCAGACACAAGAATAGCTTTGGAAAAAATAGAACTGGAGACATAAAGATAATCTTAATTATAGCAATGGAGTTTCAGTGAACAGAAGCATCTGCCTTTGGGCAGACAGCACACATGGAGCCTGTGCGTGGGTCTGATGCCTCACACCAGAAGGGACAAGTGTCTCAATCAGCCATGTGCTGAGACCATGGCAGTGCTCAGACAAGCTCCTTTAACACCCCAAAAAGGCCTTTGGAAAAAACCCCAATGTGTTTCCCAAAGTCTGCTGGATTGTAGTGTTAAGCAGGTGGTCATTTTGGTCAGTGTTATCTGGAAAAAGACTTAATCCACATGATAACTTCACTGCCTTTCATTGAAGAGAAAACTATCAGTATCTCAATTTTTCAAAAACCATCTCTGGGCAAGAAAATAAATGGATTGCATGCTATTAATACTCTCACAGCTTCTCTGTTTGCAGGAGACAAATTTGGTGATGATACTGCTGAATGCTGGATATTGGGTATCCAGTGAGGTATTTGATTAGGCTGTCATCGTGAATAGGAAGAAAGGGGATGGAGAACCTGCCCTAGGAACATGCAGCGGTCTCAGCACCCAAATTACTGGTGGGACAGTGAAATCTGTGTCAGAGACTGGGCAGGTGGCCCAAGGCAAAGCCTTTCCTGCTACCATGATGGGTAGCTGCATGTGTACTTTGGGGTTGTGGTGCCAAGGAGGCCCACAGGTCAAGTGGCTGCATGGCTGGAAGCCTGCTCCTTGGGAAAATCAGGGCTGGATAACCATGAAAACAGGTTGCAAGAGTAGGGAAAACCCTTGCAGCCCTCATGGGATGGGCTGGGCATGCCTTGAAACCCTCCAGGAGTGAAAGGGCCCCAGGTCTCTGTGCAGAGAGGGAAGCATGTGGTGGCTGTGTTCCTTTCGAAGGAGGCATTTGGGGTGCCATGGGCACATTCCCCCCTTTCTGTGGAGCTGGGGGGTAAGGGGACTGTCAGAGTGGGCTAGTGTTGGAAACAGCTGCTGTTTTAAGCAACCAATGGAACTTGGCTGAAAATAACTTTTTTTCAAATTAACACTTAAATAATCTAGATATTTTGGAAATTTTATTTGAGGATCCTAGACTGTTTAAGATATTCAAGTCCTTTTCTTCCCTTCAAAAGAATACTCTGTTCCTGTAATAATAACTCAAACACTTTGATTATCATGCATTCTCCTGCTGCAGTTTACCACAACAATAGGATTACCATGCATTTGCCTACACATTTCTTAAAAACCAGGCCTAAACATTTCCACTTTAGCATGCCATCAGAAAGGAGACCAGTGATTCCCTTCTAAAAGTCCCAACATGCATCCAGTCTTTGATGTCCAGTGTCACTTCCTAATGGTAGTAAGAAGATGAGGGGTATGTTTAGTCAAATCTCATCACTTTCCTCTCTGTGGTCCTGTTCTACATGGTCTCTGTGGTTTGTTATTATTATTAACCTGTATTTGCCTCCAGAGGCCCCATTTAGCTCTGTGCTGGAAATTGCCTCCTGCAGTTATTGCTGCTGCCAAGCAGTTGTGCTACAACTCCTCCCATGAGCCCATTCAAAGTTGATCAAAATGAAGAGACTGATGACTTTACTGTACTGACATATTTCATACAAGGCTGATTTTGTATATTTAATGTGTAACTCCCCAGGGTTCAGAGAGGGAGCAGCATAAGTTCCCTCCAGCAAGCCTTAGCTCAGGGCAGCTTTCCTGCAAGAAGGATTTGCTTATGATGGGTACCTGATATGGGCACTAAGTGCATTAAACACCTTCTTTTTTCTGTTAGAAAAGCATTTCCTTGGATGATAAGCCAAGATGCCTTAAACTAATGAATAATGAACTCCCTCACATTCGGCATGTACACTATAAATCCACAAGGTTTGTTTGGGAATTGAAGCAAGGAAGTTTCTACCATCTACTGGTCACAATTTCTTGCTGTCCTTAAGGAGATCAATGTTTGAAAAAATATAATCAACAGCCTGACACATCAAGGGAAGAATGTTCTTGAAAAACCTTTTCATCACACACACAAAAATAGTTGTTTTGTGTTTCAGTACTTGTAGCCAGTAAGGTTAAATATGTCTAGCATAATTCCACTTCAAATAGGATTTTATATATAAAATTAAAATAATATTTATGGAAAAATATTCCATGCTGATGTTGGACTTCTTTAAAATGGATTTTAATCAGTAGAATGGAAGTACATGCTGTGTTTTACACATGTGTTGGGGATTAGGATTTTTACTTTTGTTTCTTTCTCTCATGGAATTTTGTCCCATCTGTTGCTAAGAAACAATAACTACTGTTCTTAAGAGAACAAAAGATGTGACTGGGAGGAAGAGGAGGAGGGAAGGTACAGGTGGTTACTTTCTTATCTGTGGGGTTCTCTCTTAGGAAAGTCCAAGATACCTGAGATTTTGGCCAGGTGGTGATGGGCTGGGCTGGGCTCCTTTCCCTCCCTCGTTTTCCACATCAGAGGAGGCACGGACGGTCTGTGGGTGCTGCCCAGAGGATTCGCTGCCATGATGGAGCTGTTGTCATCCCATTCTGCTGCCATGGTGAGCCTTTGCTCATTAGAGCAGCTCTTGAACTGGGACCCTCCTAACACTCGTTCTGACTGGAAGGGACCCTCACCATCTATTCAGGTGTCTCAGGGAAAAATCCAGGACCCCAACCCACTCCCTCTTCCCAGAGGAGGTGTCTCCCCGATTCCGTGTGGCTGCTGCGACAGAGGAGCCCGGCTGCTGCTGCCAAGCCCTGCTGCTTCCTGCTGCTGTCTCAGGCTTTTTTGCTACACTCAAACCCACACCCCCTGCCTGCTGGGACACTCCATGGCTCCTGCTATAGCTGTGGAGTTTCTGACACATTTCCTTTGCTACTCTGGGGCCTGCTCACCCCTGCTGTCCCAGCTGCCGCTCTGCAGTTCCGGCTGCAGCCCACATGCCCACCCAGCCCGGCCGCCATTGCCGCGTGAGGGAGGCCGCGCTCGCCCCGCAGCGCCCCCTGCCGGTGCGGGGAATCATCGCGCCCGCCCTGCCCGGCCGGGAGCCAGCAGCGCCCCCGCTGGCCGTGAGCGGAACTGCAGGGACGGGGCAGCGCCGCGCCCAGAGGGTTTCAGCGGGTCCCTGGTTGGGTTTGTGGTTGCTGCCACAGCTGCTGTTTGTTTGCCTTAGTAAAGAATACACACACTAGTAAAGAACTGTTATTCCTATCCCCATATCTTTGCTGGGAGCCTCTTAATTTCAAAGTTACAGGAATTCTGAGGGAAGGTTCCCTCCCTTGGCAGACATCAGTCTCTCAAAACCAAGACAATGTGTGAAAGCCAACCCAAGTCCTTCCATCTATTGCCAAAGTACTTTTGTATTTTTCAGCCTGAATTCTTCCAGGTGATCTTTCTATTAGTTTCATCTATTTCTGTAGCTCTGGGAACACAACTATTTTACAATATGCTTTACAATATGCTTTACAATATGCTTTTACAACTGTAAAAGGACAGAGTGGAGTTTTATGTTGCAGATTTGGCAAATCAAGGTTTACTTTTGTATAATTTTAAAATTTATCCACTGTCCCATCAACTAATCAGTTGTGCAAATTCCCTTGGGATCTGAAACGTAAATATTTTTAGCTCATATCTGACAGCCAGGAATAAAAATATTGCAGCTTATTGTTATTTACACTTCATGAAACTAACACCAAATGAGTGTAAAATTGATTGGGAAACAGTGTTCAGACAACAGTAGGTAGAGACCAATAGTTTCGTTTCAAACAGGAAGAAAGTATCGACTCGGTTTTGCAAAAATAGTGAGTCACTGTTTTTATTACTAACTTGGATGATGGAATACAGGACACAATTTTAGGTCTGAAGATGATTCCAGGCACTCAGGGTGGCAAAGATGCTGAAAGACTAGGATTCAAACCAATATGCATATGGGAAAGAGATCTGGTAAAACCAGAAGTAACTCAATAACCATCCATGAAAGTTGTACATTGGAATAATCACCTACATTATTGGAAGCACTGAAGTTTAGGTAACAGTTTTGAAAAAAAGAATTTGGCATTGATATTATATGAAAAACTGAAGATGAATCAACAGTGTTTTAAAATAGCAAGCATCAGTCCAGACACAGGAACAGCATAGGTAAGCAAGATGAGAAAAATAATCGTGCTGCTCCATGCTCTCTTAACAATATATTTGCTCTGTCTCTGTATCTCATTTTGAGCACTGTACTTGAAGGAAAAGTGACCAAGAGATGAAGCACAATCTGGAGCACGGTAGAGCAATGGTAGAAAATGTCACATAAGGAAGGGGGTATTTCTAGCCTGAGATGGCAAAGACTGAGATGAGATATTGTAAAAAATACCCTCCTTTCAAAAAGGAGGGGAATATTCTGTTCTCCATATTCAGCAGGGCTCAAATGCAAACAATGTGCCTCAGCTGTAGCAAGGGAGAGATAAATTTAGTGCCCGGGAAAATGTTTAAAATTAAGATGCTCTGCCATAGGTTTGCAATAGGTTGCCTGGGACAACTGTGAAATCTCTAACACTGGAAATTCATTAGAAGCATCACAAAATTCTCCATTCTCTTATCATCATGAGCTGTCGTTTGTGGATTCTAATTCCTGCTATTGCACTGACCTATTGTGTCAAACAAGGTGCTATTGCAAATGCATATATGACCTATTGTGTCAGTGCTATTGCACTGACATGGTGCCAAACAAGGACCAAATCTTCTGCAAATAGGGTGAACCATTTCTGTAGGTTCTGTTGTTCATGCACAGGGCCTTAAAGCCTTAGGAATTCAAAGAAGGTATAAGAGTGAAAGGCAAGGATAGAACCGTGAACAAAGAAGTTTAAATCCTGGCAGATTAAAGGGATTTTTTTTTCAGAGATGCTAAAATATCACAACACTTGTTGTTTACCCTTTGCATCTATGCTGCAATCTGAGGAGGTGTAAGCTCTGTTTGACACCTTCTCAGCTGATGGGGCATTCAGAACTCTCTGTGCCTCACTTGCTTTTCCTCCTGACTTGCTTTGTGTGGTACATATACCATGGTATATTTGGCTAACAGAAGAATTTGATGAACTAAGAAAAAAAGTAAATGTAAAGAAAAAAAAAAAGAGGGAGAAAGGTCACTCTGCTGGTGAGGGCTGAGAACAGAAAGCTGAGGGAAAGAACAAGATGACACAAGCAGTCAGCATAAAGCAACTCTCCCTTTCTTTACCCTTGCAAAACTGCAGGAATTTTCATGGAAAATGTGTTATTTGTTAGAGTTTTTTCAGCTGATGAAATGAATGACTACCAAACAATTCTTAGAAATAATAATCTAGGTACTTTCAATTTTAAATTGGTCTTCTTTAGAAGTAGATGATTATTTTGTAGACCAAAAAAAGGTTCCTGGGCAATAACTTATTGCAGAACACAGCACTGCATGAGTAAATTAGTATTTGCACAGCTGATGGTAACAGCAAAGCAAAAGGCTAGTCACATTTCTTTGGATTATTTTGTAAAGTGAAATTAATACTTGTGAAAAATGCCAGATAAAGAATCCAGAAGCAAAGTCTCCATTGATTTCAGCAGAGCAGAATCCATTCTTGAGTCCAGCCAAATGCAATGTGTAGAGCTAAAGTGCCATGGATTGCCAATAGGATCCTGCCTAGGAGCCTATTGCAGACAGACTGACCTTCTCAGGCCCTGCCATCTCAAATAGGACTGCCAACAATAATGATACCTAGGGATCAAAATACCCATCTGCTGCTTATGAGGCTGAGAAAAGCAGCAGTCTGGGTGCTATTTACAAAGAAATTTGTTTAACTTAGAGCTAAGTATTTGCCCAAATGTAATGGTGCAGAGGAAGGTCTGTCACTTTCTCTTGGCAGGGTGTTGTTCAGTCAGTACACTGAGTGTACACTGACTGTGAACAGAGTGCTGAAGAAGTATCACCCAGCAAATGCTACAGATGGGCAGGAACTAGCTAGGCCTGCTTTGGAAAGGGGTGACAGGATGGCATCCAGAGGCATCTTCCATAGCAGATTATTCTGTGCATCTCTGAAATGGTGTTCTGGACAGCATTCTGTCTGTCTAGTTCTGGCCCTGGGCACTAAGTTCAGACAGCAGGACACCCAGAGGTTCATGGCCAGCAATTGCTGCTACTGCAGCACTAAGGACTCTTCTGGACACTACTCAGAGTCTCCCTGACCATTGCAGAGATGAGAACAATGGTGAGTCCAGCCTTTTGAATGCTAACAAACTTAGAACAGCACCCACTGCTCAGACCATCAGCTCATTGCCTCATTTAAACAGAGAAACAAATGCAACTCTAAAGTGCTTTCATTTGAGCTGTGGCTACTGGCTAATAAGACCAAACCTCTTTGGTGAGTTGGAGAAATTACTCTGATGTAAACTTGAGTTAGGATAAAGAGGAGGATTTCTGCAGCTCCAAGCAATACACGTAAAGATTATGTAAAGTCATTTTCATTTTTCTTCATGTGCATCTTTTTCTTCTAAAGATATGAAAAAAGCAAGGTTAAATTTTCTCAGATAAGACAAACAGAAAACACTGACAGTGTTCTATGGCTTTAAAAGGAGGAATAACTTTGAAAAGCATTTTGAAAGATAACATTTGTGAAAACAAAGCCATCTTGCCCTACTGGGAGCTTCTGTATGTACCTAATAGGAAATCCATATGAGTCCAGAAATTGCACCCTTGCTTGGAAAGAGTTGATTCTGCCTTTCATCAAGCTTCCCCTTTATAGAAAGCTAGACAGCCTGTGGAGAATAATATTTCATTTAAAACATATCTCACTATTGTGCCTCCCAAAATCTTTGCAAATTTAAATTTATTCTATTATCACAAATAATTAAAAATAATGAAAACTGAAGACATATATTAGAATGAAACTAAAAAATCAAAATATAACATAGTGTATTTTTTCTATAAGTTTGTTCTTAGACTTATTTATGCTCTTATAAGTCTGCAGTCATGTGGGTTTTGTGTGGTTTTACATAAAACAGCTCTATAAACACAAGCTATATCAAAAAGCTTCTGACTACTTGGATATGAAGAGTCCTTCTTTGTGATCACAATTTCTCTTAAATCTAATAAGAAATAAGACTATGTTGGTTCACCTTGATGAACAATGGCTTTCATTTTCCTAGTGAAATGTGACCTTTTAGTAATAAGCAGAATATTGAGTAGATATTATTGCCAATGCCCATAGATGTTTGGAAAATAAGGAGTAGGGAAGGGATTATGTTCTTCTTTCCTGGATTAAGCATAAAAGTACTGTGAAAATTCTCAAACAGACACATTGTACTTGTGTATTTGGCAGTATTTTCTGCCCAGGGGAAAGAAAACACTTGGTGATTCTCCACAGCTTGTACATGAAATTAGATAAAATAACTGTACTATTTCTTGAAGGATCTAAGAAAGCGCTGTGTTAGCCCAGTGTTAGTAGCCTAAATTAAAACAACAGAAGATTCCAGCTGTATTGCTTGGAAATGCTGACCCTTCTCTAAGCTAAGGCTCACTCAGCTTCTGTTCCCAGACTAGGGATATCAGGGGGGGTCACACAAAGAGTTCCACTTTCACAGCTGTTGGAGAAGAGTCATCCAAACAACTTAATATCCTCCACCTCCAGATAAAGTTTATTCAAATATAATATTAATCAAGAAGCTCTTTTCCCAACCTAACCTCTTTCTCTTGATCAATTCAGTCAGAGAAATGAAGCTGCTTTATTTTTTATGCCTAGCCCAACCTTCTCTTTGTTCTTCAATTTGTAAATGTGTCAAATATAATTAAAACTGACAGAGGCCAAGAGTAAATCAAACAAAATGTAAACATTGTTTGTGTTATTTGGTTGATGCAAAGCTTTCACCATAAAATGCTTTTAGATAAATTAATTCAGCTATTAGAGTGCTGCAGCACTGAAACTTTGCTCCAACACTTTGAACTTTCCAGGGATACTGTCAGGTCATCTTAGATTCAAAACCTAATACATGGTTGGGGTCCTGAAATTGCCTAAGGGAATCAGGAACCTGACTTCTACTGAAAGTTGCTGTGTGATGGGAAGTTAATTGACTTCCAGCAGGACTTAAATGCCGTTGAAGAGTCTATCCATGTCCTTGCAAAAAGCAGCCCATGTCCTTCATGGACATAAATGAATGTAACTGCTTTCACACCCACCTATCAGCAAAGTGCCTGATGCACACATTTTACAAAACCTAAACAAGACAGAAAACCCTCAGAGCCACTCCTACTTTTATTTGATTGTATTTTGGTTAGCACTAAATATTTCCTTTCAATGTAAAAAAATTATAGTGTTCAATAATGATATTATTAAGTAGTGGCATAATGATAAGGTTATATTTCAGCAGATTATTCCATTAAGGACTTTCAGTTTCAGCCTGGCAGGCCGCGACCTGTAGTTTAACCCACTGGTTTTAGTGGTACTCCTGATCTTTTAAAGTGCAGATGCAGAATCTCAATGTATTCAAGATTTTCCCCCAGTCATTTTTGCCTTAAAAACCTCATCCCTATATCTCAATAGCCACCATGAAAATTCATGGCAAGTAACAGAGAAACTCAGTACTTTTGAAAACAGATTTCTGTCTTATTGACTGAGATTTTAGTGTTAAGCAATATGGCATCAAAATTTGCACAGCTTTGAAAATAGATTCCTGACTATTTCCTTTAATTCCTCAATCACTACTTTAAAAAGCAATGAAATAAATGTGATGTTATTCATATTTTTATTGTAATTTATTTTCACACAGGATGGGCATTTTTCATCCCTGCATTAAATCCTGCTTTTTTTTTTGTATGTGTACATCTGTATCTCCACTTGTTTTGCAAATTTAATATCTTGATATTAAAATATAATATTATAGCTCATTATAATCAGAGATTTTGGGGATTTCTCTCTTCAAGGCCTTTACTAAAAGAACTGTAATACCATGGGACTGTAGTCAGAAATCTCTCTCTCTGATCTTAAAAGTCTTATTTATCCAGAGATATTCTCTAAGAATTCTACAGTCTCCTTGGCAAAGTTACCTCATTCAATGCTAAGTGTGGCTGCCATAAGGGGAACTCAATGACAAAGTGAGAGGTTTCTTAGGGACAGGATGATGTCATGGTACAAGATGGCACAGGGATAGAATGTGCTGGTCCTTCATCTCTGACAATTGACATCTGTATAGAGATGATTATTGCAGCTATTCCCTCGTTATCTTCAGTGGACATGACATCCAACCACAAAACCAGTGCAGAGATCTTGCACCTGGCAGGGCTGACCTGTCTGAGTGAGCAGGTCAGGGCTGATCAATGAAAACAGAGCTAGTGTACACCAAAGATCCCCCACAGCCTTGCCAAGTCTCTTGAGTAAAGATTATGTATTAGTCCCTTGCTTTTATAACCATAGATGTGTTCAGACTTATTGAAAATAGCTGACAAAGATTCCTTTGTGGTGATGAGAAACCAGCATTGGTTACCAGAAAGAATGGAACAGAGCCACACAACTGTCTCATGTCTTGAAACCATCTGAAGATCCTCTTAATAGTTGCTGAAGCAATAGTATAGGTTAAATCCTATACTATTTCTGCTAGTTGGCAGAGAAATACATCAATAACAATGAGATCTTAGGCTTACAGGAAATGAACAGATATGTTTCTGAATGAATTTGGAAAGAAGGATACAGAGTAGTACTTCTCTGCTTTATAGCCAAGTATTTTTATTCAATGAGATTAAGACAAAGAAGGCCTTGAGATTTAAAAAAAAAAAAGTTGAACAGTGTAATGAATCTTGGGTATTATAATTTCATCTTAAATAGCTCAGTAGCAATTTTTGCTAAAACATACTCCCCTCCAAAAAACCAAACAAAACTGCATTTCTCACAAAAGTTAGGTTTGGAAGCTGATTCAGATTTTACATGGATGCAAATGTGAAAGGACACTGTTAAAAACTATTCCATTGCTGCACAGATTAGCTGACAGATATCAGAATTTGGACTTCAATTTGAAGCTTTCCTTGTAATTAAGAACAGCAGGATTTGACTTAAATCAGGAATTTTACCCCTAATAACGTTAAAAGAGCTTGCGATTTTTTCACTAGTTAAGTACATTTGCTGAATATCTTGGGTAGCTTATTATATTAAAGGATTCCAAGCTTTTGTTTTCAAATTCAAATATTGATAAAATTAGTATAAAAATGTTATTCTACAATATTAGAAACCTAAGTGAAAGAACTTTAGGCCAGAATGAAGAAAAAGAATTAACTCCTAACACAAATTAGACTGAAAAGGCAATCTGCATTGTTCTGTATGAGAGAACCACATAATGATGTTCTAAATTTCCTAATATTGCAGTATTCTGAAAGGCTTTCCAGCTATGAGAAAACATTTAGTCCTGATGCATATACTACTCTTTCCAGGGGACGGGGTCCTTTGTGACCAGTTCTGCTTATTTACACTCTTGTATATTGTTTAGCTTTAATGTGTTGCAAATTGAAAGAAGAACCAGGAATTCAGCCCAGTCTTCCTTAAATTCTTGCTAGATTTTATGTTAATTTAATTCATTATTTCTCTAGCTACCTAATACAAAGGATGATTTCATTGTCATTTAAGATCACTTCTTTTCCTGTTTTCATGATCTTCTCACTGTTATTGTTCTTCTCATTGAAATTTCCTTTCTAGTCATAATGAGCACTCAGAGCGTTTCATTGAGAAAAAACAAGGAATTAAAACATTTTCTATTTCCCTAATCAAGACACTGTCATTATTATCACTGAAAGCCAGGGAAACAGATGAAGAATGACAGAGTTACATGAAAGAGAAAAAGGACACTGCCAAAGTGATTCTGTGATCACAGTCATTTATAATAACACTCTGGATGCTGGCGTAGCAATCTAATTGCATACTAATGCCTGTTGTGTAAACTCAGTTACTAGTTGCATTACAGATGCTGTGCTTCAGTCACAATTGAGGCAAATATGAACAGAAATTTGGAAAATCCTTGATTGCTGTTGTAGAATAATTCATACCACTCATCATCATGTCAATTTTCAATTTAATCTGACATTTTTGAAGCAGAAAGCCACAGTGATTCAACTCTAGAAGAAAAAGTATCCTTGGAAAAGAACCATGTTTTGAAAATGAAGAAAATAAAAGTAGGATAAGTTTTTATTCTATCACTTTTGACAGTATCCTATTATAGGAAAGACTAAATAAATTTTAAAGGCAAAATTCTCTCCCCATTCACACTACAACAGCTCCAGAATATACCTACCAACTTTCATACTATTTTCCATTAAATTAGATCTGCAATATCACAAAGGCTGATTCATCTTTTGGTCTCAGATAAGTCACTTCCAGGAAACAGGCATGATGAGAGTAAGACAGACAGCTCTAAACAATCTCTGAATTGAGAATGTGTTCAGTAGACACACTTTGTTTCTTCTCGTCTCACAGATTTCTTATCCTGAAATCTGTATGTCACATAATGGAGAAGAACAGGACATAGAAATTTTATCTGAAGGCTAAATTAAAATCCTCCTGCAGTAACCTGCTTGAGGAGCTGGGACTGGTACAATGCAAAAACATTAAGTGATAGCCCCCAAAAAAGTCAAGAGGTCTTCCATCAGGAGGTATGCTCTCCACATGATCCCACCCTGAGGTGGTGCTCTCTCCCTAGCTATTTCACTTGATTCACGTTGTTTCAATACCTGTTGAAATGGTTCACACTGTTTCATTGCTATTACTGTCATTATTTCACCTATCCACACTTGTCTCTGCCAGTCTGTTATTCATAATTGCCAGGGCTCCAACCCCACCAGAGAATCCGTTTTGCTTCGAGTTAGAGCTCATTTGCCTTGGATACCCATTAGCAGTTTCTGACAGCTGTTTCTGCATGATAGCCAATGAGACTTTATTGGAGGCCAGGAAGTCTTTCATGGAGATCATCTCCCCTGACAGACGGCGTCCGTCCGTGTCGCTCTCGTTGACACCGTCGGTCTCGATGGAGATGTTCCTCCGGCTGCGCACATTTCCCGGCATCACCACGTTCCTCCGTGAACGAAATAATCTTCTTTGGCACCTGTGGCAGCACTTGCAGGCCAATTTCTTTAATATCCAGTTTATGGACTGCTTGATGACTATAGAGATCACATTAAATAAGGAATAGATGCAGCACACCCCCATGAGTATGAAGACAAAGTTGCCAAAGCGGTAAAGGCCCTGGCTCTCATACCTGACGTTCTGGCTACTGACCAGATCACCAAAACCAATGGTGCTGAAGGCCACAAAGCAGAAGTAAAGTGAGTCAAAGTAACTCCACCCTTCAATTGGTGTGTACATTGCAGAGGCACAGCAGGAAATGATGAGGGATGCTACACATAAAATCAGCATTACATAGTACACAGAGGGCTTCCAGCCCGCCAGGCTGTCCACCTCGGAGCTCCCCGAGCCCCGGCGGCCGTTGTGAGGGAGAACCCCTTTCCTCCTCAGCTGTCTCTCGTGGCAGGACTTCATCACGTAAGCTATGACCGTGATCAAGCGCTCCAGGAACAGGTTAAAGAACAAAATGGTCCCTGCACATCCTATAAGGCCGTAAAATATCAGAAAAATTTTGCCTCCAACGGTGGCTGGGGTGGTCATACCAAACCCTGGAAGACAAAAAGGAACAGTTGAAAAAATAAATCTGTAGGTGCCATGTTAGGACTTTCATCACATGCAAAATGGATGAACTGGTAGCAAATCTTCATGGTACAGCTCAGCTTTGAGAAAAAATACATTCTCCCCAGATGTCACCCACTTGTGCTTGACTATATCTGAGCTGTAAGGGGAAGGAACACATGCCATCATTTCCTCCAGAATCAGAATGAAACAAAAAGCAGAACAAAACACATGGACAGGAAAAGAGAGTTTAGAGGAGGCCTGAATTTTGGTTTGGTTGCTAGGTTCACTCTTTCTGTCTTTGTGCTTTGGATTGCTTCCAGGCTTTGGGGTTATTGCAGCTGCTTTCTTCTGTCTGATCCTTTTCTGCACCATGGCTCTGTCCCAGGGGTGGCTCCCGCCTTTCACAGATCCATCTGCACCAAATCTTTGGAACACAAAGTGAAATTTCGGAGGTTCACTTGACTCCTGGTGGCAGTGCAGGTGGCACATCACCAAGCACTCAGCACCCACCGTAGCCTGGCTTTGGAAGCTCAGGCTGGGAGCACACACCAGGTGACAGCCCCTGGCAGGATCATCATGAGTGTCCCAGTAGGAGTTAAAGATGCCCTGCATCTGACTTGGCTGTCTGTCACTCATTAACAACCCCTTTTTAAATCAGCATTGCTGAAATTTTTCTACTTCTCTGTGTCCCACTCCATAGCTCAAGTCTGCATGTGGATCTTAATCTTATCAAAAGTCTCCTCTGATCTGATTCCCCGTAATGAGATTTCTTAGGCCAGAGGGGCTTCAGTCTACTCTCAAATATTTCCCATCCTAAAGTCTGAAATTAGTAATTTTGTTTTGGTTAAAGCTGTTGATAAGACAATCTTGTTTTAAAAAGATATTACTAAAGAATAAAAAGTTGTCCAGAACATCACTGAGCAAATTGGAGTAAAACTCATGACAAATCTTTGCTGGTGTTTTATTACGATTATTAACTGACCAACTAAGCAAAAACATTTTTGTTGACAGGACAGAAAAATCACGGGATTTTTAATTTCTCTTTGTAACTATGAGATGCTAATTATGAAATAAACACATCAGGCTCTGAGAAAGAAAGGAAAATATGTCAGAAAGGAAACAGTCAGTATGATATACTAGTACTTCAAAGACAAGAGAAGGGAAATGTGAAAAGACCATGTTTCCAACAGTGTCAAACTGCACCTCTCTTCCCTTCACTTAGCAACCTGCTGCCAGCACAGATTCCTCTCTAACACTGGCCCTGCCACACTGGGAAGTGTCAGCCCTCACTCTCACCCCTCCAGCTTGAGCCCCACTAACAACAGCTCCAAGCCTGGGCTCTCCAGGCTCTGCCCTGCACTTCTGCCTGCATCCACAATCTAACACCAAGTGGTCCTACAGGAGGCTCCAGCCTCCTCATTAAATTTCTTTGCTAGGGAGAGCTGGACTGCAGCTCTGTGATGAGGAAAACATGACAAGTGACAAACCACAGACAAAACGTTCTTCACGACAAGAACTTTTTCCTGTTGTTGCCCTTGGCACACAAATATTTCCTCTTGCTTTCCACCCTCCCTTTCTGTTCCATGGTTTGATCTCTCTATAATTGTAGTTTTAATGCTTATTTTCAGTGCAAGCTGGCTTATATGCAAGTCATGACCTCCACCCTGTGGACAGACACAAAAAAACAATGGACAAGAGGAACCTCAGCAGCTGGTGAGGTCTGCCCAAAGAAGCTGTGGGGAGGGCAGTGAGGGGCTGCCATGGCCCTGCCCCAGCCTGTTCCTTGAGAATGGAAGCAGCTGTAGGCTGGGCAGAGATGGAAAGGTGGGGAGCCCCTGGCACAGGGTGAGCAGCATTTTGGGACTGGCAGGCATCTCCTACAGCATAAAGCAAATGCCCTGGAAAGAGAAAGGCTCACGTTCCCAGAGGCTGCTCTAGGGATCCTGCCTCTGGCATCAGGGCCAGAGCCTGAACTCCTCAGGCTGTTTCTTTAGCTGACCTGATTTTGTTGCTGGGTTTGTCCTGCTACCCACTAGCAAAGGCTTTACAAAGGCATTCAATAGGCATTCCAGGGAACTATGGTGAATTATGAATAAATGACATAGTGAGCAATTAGAGCACCAGTGTGACCCGTAGAGCCCAACAGTAAAAGAGCAAGAAATTGCATTGCAGATTGGAAAGAAAATACAAAATGAAATTATGAAATCATATAAAAGAGGAAATAAAAGCAGTAGCTGACACTTGGAGACTATTTGAAAGTACAAATTTTGTTTTTTTTGTTGAAAAAAAAAGATACAACTGCAGAAAAAAATGCTGGTGATTCTATGATAGGAGAGAATGCTGATTAAGTTTAGTGATTTTTATTTTACAAGCTGGGTGATATTTCTTGAAAACACTGTTTCGAGTAGCAATTGAAATTATAGTTAATCTAGTGGAAATCAGATCACTCTGAGTTGGGAAAATAAAATGTTTTAAAGGTTCCAAAAGTGTTTCAATCAATTTGTTAGACATGTCTGCAGTGGCACTATTGATAGAAATGCGTGACAAATTCTAACTTCACCAGCCCAGCAGTAAAGGCAGCATTCTTAGTAAAAATTTCAGGATCTTATTTTGAAATCAGTATAATACTGATTTGCCTCTGTCCCATGATCCATTGACTTCTATAAATTAGTATGATCTTTCTTAATATTCAGCTGAACTGATCGAGTACATTCCTTAAGCTTCAATTTTTCTACAAATGTTGTGGTTTAGTTTTTTTTACCTATTGCTTAAGCAAGAATTCTGGGGCTTTTTTGTGAGTATTCATATTAATTCTGAATTTCTTTGTAGCAGATTTACTTTATTAGAAGCTGCAGGAAATTGAATTCCAAGTAGAGTCAGCAAAAGTTTTCTAAGCACTGCACATCTCCTATGGAAAACAAATCTTTAGATTTTGTTTTGGCAGCAAAATTTCTGTTATGAAGTCTGGTACTGCAAAGCACTCTAAAATTCACCTGTGTGTTCAGGTTATATTGTGTGGATATATTAAAAAAAAAACAACTAAAAAGGGAAATAATATCAACAGCAGAATACAATCACTTGTCATTATTTCTTGAAGTTCTGGGTATAAATGGAGAAAAGCAAGCAGCTGTATTTCTTATCATTAGCCAGTTTGATAAGAAGGATTGAGGTCCAACGGGAAGTTCTCCAAAAGCAGAACCCTCCAACAGCAAACAGTGAATAATATCAAGCAAGTATTAATCTCAATCTAGTAAAAAGATTATATTGAAATCAAACAAGAGGAAAAAGGCATCAACTGCCTATTCCAGGCCAATATTAGGTAATTTCATCTTTTCTGCTGCAAACTGCTCCAGTGCTACCAGCTGCTGCAGGTGTTTCTCATGGGTCATTACCCACACTCATCTCTCTCTGCCTGGTGACACATGGTTTGGCATTTTATGTTTTAATTGTGGATGTCCTGACATTCACAGGTTACATTAATTAAAACTTCATTTCCTGGTGCAACTGGTGCTGTGAAAAAGTATGAGAAATGGTTCATCAGTCCTAATCCCTCATGAATGAAGACCAGGGTGCCCCAAATAGCTTGGGTGTAGAGACTGGGACATAGAGATTTCACAGTCAATTTTAGATCATGCAATTGGGTCTTTCTATTGTTCTGAAAAATATCTCTCTTTTCTGATAGGTCTGAACTGAATGTATGCAGTTCACTGCTCCTGCCCTTCCCACAAAGAGGAAGTAGTTAGAAAGAGGGGGCAACAATGAGTCATTGTGATGGTAGAAATATAAATATCAACACAAAACAGAATCCAGTTTAGCCTACAATGTGAGTTCTTTGTGATGCTGTGTCTTTACTCCTAATGTAGTTTATATTTATTTATTTTTCTCTGTCAGCTCAGTTTAGACACTCATTGGGGAAATGATGAATTTCCAGTGAAATAGACAATGGGTAATAATTGAGGTTCATGATAGGTGTGAACCAAACTAAACAGGACAAAGAGTTTCAACTGCAGTGAAAAAAAGATCAAGAAAAGTAACTAGTAAAGAGATATACAGGAAGACCGATACCTGCAAAGATGCTGACCCTCTTTTTTCAGACATATTCTGTACTGAACTTTCTACATAAGGGTGTTTTGTGCTTCTAAAAGAGACAGAAGAAATAACTCTAACAGAAGCTCTACTTCAAAGGCTTAGTTGAGAAAATGTTCTATACTTTGCACTGTTCCAACAATGTGCAGACACCAATACTTTGGCAAAACTCACTTCTGCCATGATAACCTCCTCTGCTGTTCTCTGAGCAGGATAAGTACTCCTGACAAAAATTCTCCCTTGTAGAGACTCCTGTAAGACCAGCTAAAGGACTCTCAAATCTTGTCACATCATTGCCTTCATGACACTGCTATGTCAGCAAGCTTGTAAAAGTGTCCTGTTCCAGAAAGGAAGGAGGACATTAAGTCCTTTCCAGAAAGAGAAGAAAAAGACTAATTTCTGTGAAGACTTCCACTGTATGAGAGGACACATTGATGGAAGCAGGCATGTGCTGTCACAGCTACCTGATGGTAACAAACATTCACTTAGGTCCCATTTTGATATGAAAAAATATCTTTAGTGCTGATGATTTTGCTAAGTCTATGCAGAAAAGCACACACACACATATGTATGCAGGCACCTCTGATTTCCCATCAGTGGATGATCACCATCCGAACTGTGCAGCTGGCTGGTGAGACATACATCCATGCATGTTCTCTTAAACATTAATTTCAGCATCTTGATCTTGTCTCTTATGAGGAAGGGAGAATGAACTAGCCATGAAACTTTCCTTTTATGGAAAACTATTTGACAAAATAATATTTTATCAGGACAGTCTGAGATGTGGTATCATTTATTTAATTGCCAATGCTGTTTTCTTGTGCAGATGGCTAAGTGGTGGGGAAAGACTCATCCTGCCCAGGGAGGCAGGGACACATGGCTATAACAGCATTCCTTTGTG